GCAGGAAAAATAAGTTTTCTCTCTTTAGTGGGGCTCCTCTTGGATACACAGTGACGCGAGTGGTGCTATACATAGGCTGCTTGTGCGTTCTTTTAGTATGTTTGTCGGCCATCTTCAAAAAACGGGTAAAATATTTTGACAACCCGACAACTTTTATAACATGAAAGCAAATTTTAGGAAGGTAACTCAATACCACAGCATTCTAATGATTATTCCGATTTCATTCGCAAAAATCGAGCAAAGCAGGAGTACCATAGCAGAGCGAAGCTGGTGAGCCTCACATAATTGTTTTTTTTTTCAAAAAAAAAGAAAGAATTTTCGCTCATCCCCAAAACAAGCAGAAAAATTTTTAAAAATGTAATGACATTTTCACATACGTTAACATAAAAATAACATATATTTTGTGCCTAGCCTTGCAGTTTTCTCTAGCAAATAATATTGAAATGAATGCAGAGATTTGTTTTCTGAAGTAATTATCGATACTCAGAGGTTAACAATCTCTTGGTCTACTCTAGGCTGTCATATGGAGCATCAAAAAGCTGGAAAGTTGAGAATCCTAGTCTTTTTTTCTTGAAATCGATAAATTAATTCAAGTTTACCACTTACAGGCATTGACATAGGTTGATATTCTGCAAGGTTAACTTAAGCCCATTTTGCAACCAATCACTTCGTCACATGTTTACCGGGTCATTACACAGAGTCGTAACACCTTGAAATCTCCTCATAAAGCTATGGCATGCAAGGATCATTTAGACCTCTATTTTGAAAGGAATTCGACGAAAAGCGCCAAAAAAAAAATCGTTTGTATTTTGTTTCATTCATCATTCCATTGTAGTCAGCTTTCAGTCTAAATCTGCTTCACGACGAATCTAACAAAAAGGTGTGTACAAACGCGTAAGCGCAATAATTGAACTATTTGCTAGATTAACTCTTCAATGAAATTTTTTTTTCCGTTGCAATTAGGCAATGAGGTCATCTAGTAAGGGGGTGGTTGAGCATTTTTTGAAAATAGTAAGAATAATAAATTTTTCTTCTGTTCAGATTTTAAGAGAACTTAGGGGATTTTGCAGTTGCCAGTGAATCAAAATTCAAATCTGCATTTTAGGCATCTAGATGATTGTAATCTTCTCATTAATTTTTTCCATGAGAAAAGGAAGCTTATTTCATGTAGCATCCGTTTCGTATACTTATAGGAAAAATCATGGGGTTTTTAAAACCAAATGACAATTGTTGAACCACGACTCACATGTGATCTAAACCGTAAAATAAGGGGCTCAACCCTGAAATTATTAAATACAATAGTTTTGTGTTGCTTATCACGTTGCCATAAATTTTCCAGGTTGTTCTGCTCGTCTGCATCTTCATCCTTGTTGAAGGACCATATATAACTCTCAGCTTCACATTTGAGGTATGCATTATTTCGAATATTTTAAACTCACTATCAGCGTTTTCATTTTGTAGATATGTAATAGCGTGGAACTTGC